GCCCTGTTTGAATTTATATTTTGATGCCCCTGGCCCACACTGCCTCTCTGGGCTCCTCACAACAGGTCAGAAGCCCAAGGGAAGGCTCAGCAACAGGAGGGTACCAGAGGGGTGTGGTGGCAGGGGAGCATGGTGACCTGAGTGCTCCAGAAGTGTGGGGGGGAGGGGCCTGTATTTTAGTTCTGCGTTTGTACAGCACCTAGCACCCTGGTCTATGATTGCAGCTTGTAGCCGCTACTGCAGTACAAATTATTAAAAAGAATAATTTCCCCATAAAACTCAACCTGTTCTTGAATTAAAAAACCCTTTATAGTTTCAAAATTTCCAATCATGACATTTCATTCCAAAGATTAAGTTTTCAGCTCAAAGCCTGTGGGGGTGCCAAAATGTACACACTTTGATACAAAACTTTAATGTCATGGAAAGGGAACTTTGGAGAATGTTTACATTATGAATATCTCATTTGCAAAATTTCTCTCTAATCCACGCGTGCACGCACCCACAGAGTTTGCCTTTTTGGCACAGCCTTATTCAATAACAAAACCTTTTAGTAGATTGGAATTAGTGCTGATGATATTCAATGAAGAATCAGTAATTGTAAGCATAAAAAAGTGACTGAATGAAGTATTCCATGCAAAATGTTATTACTGCACCTAATTATAGAAATCAGTGTAATTCAAAGGCCCCTGCTTCAAAATTCCGTTTCTCCCTTTATTTTTTTTTCTCAGCTCAACTTCTTTAATGAACTGAGCAGTTCTGGTCAAGTATTTTTGTTTCATTTAACTCCTCTTGCTATCAGATGAATGCAGTGCCCTGTAAAAACACCTGCTGATTTTCCCTGAGGGGGTATAACTTTTCAGTAGGGTGTTGGCATGCTCAAATCCCTGGATCCCCTGCAGATTACACCTCTTTGCTGCTTTCTGCATGAGTGGCCACTTCCTAGTTTGCTTATATCTAAGACTAGTCTTGATTGGTTTCAAAGAAGGTCCTTGGAGATTGGGCTGATCAGGTTCACTAATGGTCAGACTTCTCTTGGTATTTGCTTACATAACACAATCAGAACACGTCTTAAATATTTTATCAGCTTTAAAGGGTCATTTTCATAATATGGCATTACGTTGCACTGGAGCACACAAAGCAGGCTGGAGAAAAGGGGACTTAGTGCACTGAAGAAAAAGAGCTTCAAGTACATGGCCCAAGCAACCTGTATACCTTATGTTAAGACAAATGTCCCCACTGCATGCAGTCAGTGTATAAAAAAGCTTTAATATGTAATATAACAAACAGCTGGATTCAGCACGTGCCCCAAATAACTGGACTGTCGCTCTTCCCCTTTAATTAGTTGACTGACTCTTTTGTGAAATTATTTTCAATCCCGTTCCTTTTGCTTTCCTTTACAGCGTCAGCCCTGCGTGTTAATTACTGCATATGAGCCAGGTTCTCAGGGTGGGGCACTGTAGAGAAGTAAGGTGCAGTTTCCTGATGCTGAGTAGTTCTACACTGACCCTGGCTTAAGCATAGACTAGAACAGTCTAGAGGCTGCTCTAAACTACTTCGCTGGCTTGCTAAGGCTGTGGAGGGGGGCTGTCTGCCAGGCAAGGCTAGCTGGAGCACAGCAGGGTCTGATCACACCCATCTATCGGCACTGTGGGATAGCTGACTATGCTAGACCTAGACCCGTTCTGTTGGGGAGGGGGTGGTTCCCCTATGCTGCAGGAATCTCCAGCCAGGGGGGATGGTTGCTTGCTAGTCCTTTTGTGCCTACTGAGCAGCAAAATGGGTCTGCATTGCTGCAGAGATTCTGGCCTTGTGCATGGAAATTCGCCCGGTGTTGCCTCCTTTCCGAGGCCATTTCTACACCCACAAGTTGGACAGATTTAACTAATTGGTAGAACCTTAAGCCAAATTGCTACAAGGCCCCTGTAACCTGATTTCAGGCATGGCCACACAAAAGGGTTTGTACTGATTTAACTAAATCAGTTTCTAATCTCATTTAGCTAAATGGATACTACTTGTGTAGACAAGGCCTTAGCTTTAGCTCATGCCCTCTCATTCTCCTATGATAGCTTTGCATCTGACCACACCTCAGACTTATGCTGGTCATATCATCACATGCAATGTAATACCTACAAGCCTAACTTTTCTAAACTAGTGTGGCTATAAACCCCGAGCTTTGTTGGTTTGTTGTTTTTTTCCTGTAACTTTTCTCATTCATCCTGTACTATGACATCCAAAATCATGTACCACACCCCAGGATTGGGCTCCCAGCCCTTTTTGGAGAATGCCATGGTGATTTCCCCTTGCTTCTCCTCTATTTTTTGCAACTAAATATAGATTACTTTCCTAATGGTTCTAGATAGTGAACTGGTAGTTGTAGGTTTCTGTCCACTAGCATGCCCAGGTCATTTATCCTGGTCAGTGGTCGGTAGCTTACAGTCACCTTGTCCTGCACTCTACTCCGTTTCTGTTGAGTCCATGAATTTGCTGTGTCTGAACAGAAGGCTGTGTATATTTTTCTTTTAATGTTATTTTTTTCACTCCGACCATCATTACATCAGAATTTTCTATGGACGATGCAATTGCAGCTTAGCAACATTTGACTCCATTTACTTCCAGATCCAGTGTCCCATCTCTTCCCTTCCTAAGTTTCTGTCATCCTCAAATTTATACGCCCAGATTTGAGGACATTCATTTGGGTATATTGCGATCAACTTCTTGCCTCCTCCTACGCTGGTCTATAATCATTCATCACTGGTCTTGGGTCTCTTGAAGTCAAGTGGGATGTTTCTCCATTAATACTGCAGTTAGCAACTACATACAATATAGTTAGTCCTTTATGTTGTACTGTACTGAACACCTTCCCAGAGGGGCGCTGGTACAATTTGTATAGTGGGGGTGCCAAGAGACATTGAACCAAACTGTAAACCCTCTATATGATGGAAACCACTTCAAGCCAGAGGATACTACAGCACCCCCACCCCCTAGTTCCAGCACCTAGGCCTTCCTAACATTTAAATGAACA